TTGCATGCAGGTTGGAGGCCATTGCTAATGAGTTGGAGGCCATTGCTCCAGGTTGGAGGCCATTGCCATGAGGTTGGAGCTCTCTCTCCAACTCGAGCGCTCACTGGGAGCCCCAGACTCTCATCCGATTCCACCAGCGATCTGGGACGGTGGCTTCTGCCAGCGATGCTTCCTGTCTCGGCTCCGAACACGCTAACAGAAAGCAACGACGTTTGAGACATTGGGCTGTGTGGGGTTGTACTTTGCTTCGTAGCTGTGGAGTAAAAACCACGGTTTCCTGTAGAATTTCCCTTATATGAATCAATTCTGGTATTCAGGATAGCACATGATGAATGGAGGGACAATTACCAGTCAAACTATACACTACTCACTCAATCTTAGTACCAAAAATAAATTACTGTATCCCGGCAAGAGACCCCAAACAGTGTGTGTGTGTGTGCGAGGTCTATAAGCAGAAAGTCTAGCGATCTAGCATTGGCGTCCAGAGAGCTGATGGTGGCGATCAAGGTGGGGATTGTGGTGACGGTGGCGGTGGTGGTGGGTGAGTGAGTGTGAGTGAGAGTGAGAGTGAGTGTGGGTGAGAGTGAGTGTGGGTGAGAGTGAGAGTGTGAGGGAGTGTGAGTGTGAGCGGGAGTGGGAGAGTGAGAGTGTGATCAACTTTTCCCAACTCACCAACTCTGCTGCCAGCCTATCAATACCTATCCCAGCTTGGGGATTTTGTGATCTTCATCAAATCTGCCCGCTGGCGGCCAATGGTGACTGGATTGAACCTGATCTGCAAGAGTCGAAACGCCTGAAAGCCGTTGGGTCGACGAGCCTCTCCCAGTGTATAGGTGGTCACCATCGCATAAACATGTGTATCTGCATACTGCACCAGCAAGGGATCCAAGTGAGGAAAATGCAACAAAACATCACCTTGTGTCATGGGTGTCTTCTGCCGTGATGTTGCAATCCACTCCAACACTTCATAAATGCCAGGCATGTTTGAATCCCTCAATGTAATGACGCTATCAGCCCAATCCAAAAAACTGCTCTTCCCATCCATCGGATTGAACATTCCAGGCTTGCCCAACTGCTTACTGTCAACTCCACCTTGCTGTATTGCGTATGCGACAGCCTGAGGCCCACTCGATCCAGCCGCTCCCACACCCGGCAATCCTCCAGCAACCTGTGACCCGGCTGCAGACACACCGGCATCCACAGGAGGGGGGTGATGCACGGGAACCAACCACCGGCGCCTGCTGCCCCTGCGACTGTGGAGGATTCGGAACTGGAATTGCACCTGTTGCCAACTGAGCTTGTTGCTGCTGCACCTGCTGGAGTGCCTGACCCATCTGCTGCATCTGCTCCTGCATTGTGGTCAAGATCGTTCCAACCTGCGTCAACTGCTCTTGGCTTTGCTGCTGCTCATGATGAAAACCAGCCTGCACCTGCGTGACCACTTCAGTCACAACTTGCTCTGTAACAGCCTGTGTCGCCTGAACCGCTGTCCCAGTACCCTGCACTGCTTGGCTCAACGATTCAATTTGTGCTCTCTGCTGCTGTTGTTCATGAAGCATCTGTTGCAAAGCTGTGGTCAACGCTCCAAGATCTGCCTGCGCTCCATCAGTCGCCATGACTGAATGATCAAAGTCAACAACAAGCGCCACAAACAAGATCAATGCAGCCAATGTCTGAAGCCCGATCCACCGCCAATGCAACCAACGTGTCTCTCCCAGCGCTCACGCTCCAAGGGTCGCGGACTAGGAACTCTCCGCGCCCTCATGCCATCGCTGCTGATTGTTCAAGCGGCCCAGCTCCGCTACCATGCGAAACCCTATGCGGCTTTCTTTCTCGGCTGCGGTCGGTACAGTGATCATAGCCATAAGGCCTTGACCTCAACTCTTGACAGTTTGAGGAAATACTATATATACCTGCACCGCGCTGTAGGCACAACTTCACATTCGTGCCTCCAACGGTGTGCAGTGCCGTCAGAGCTGTAGCCTCAGTCAATCACAACAAGCGAAATTGCACAAATGTGTTCGCTTCTTGTTGGTTCGACTTAGCACAATCAAACCAGTACTCAAAGCTGTCTTAGCCCTGTGCTGTGGTGGCTGTGATGCCAGTGTAGGCTGTGTAGCCCGTCCTTAGAGCCGAGAAACAAGAAGCATGCCCCAATCGTAATGCCAACTACCCCCGCTCAATGATGCTCAATTTGTACCACAAATTGAACAAATGCATGGTGTTGTCTTGCCGACGAAAAACTGACCGCTCATCCCACTTTCAGAGGCAGCGCTACTAGCTCGCATCTTCCGCTTCCTGGAGGGTGGATCTCGTGCCATGGTTGCTTTTTCTCTAGTTTGCTGTTGATGCTATTGGTATGTTTGCCGGCTTTCTTTGAAGCAAACAGTAACACCAAACAACAATACTTCCAACTCCTCTTCTCTTTGCCATGCGCGGCCTGCAAACGTGATGCAAGACTGAGGGAAGCCAATGGAAAAACAACATGTGGACATTGGACATCAATTCTATAGCCTCTTGAACCTCTTGATTCCGAAAGAAACAAAAAAAGACTACAGTAAATGGTGGTGACTTACATGCATGCTTTCAGAGTCTTCCGAGCTTGCCTGGGCCAAGAAGATCTTCTCAACCCAGGCACGGACATCAGGCCGCGTCCGTGGACCACAAACCTGAAGCGAAATCTGAATGAAAATTCGGAATATCACTTGGCTCAGGACATGTCTGGTGTCGCCCGGCTGCCTGGCCTGATTTAAGAAAATCATCCGCTCCTTCTCTAGCTCCAATGGATCCCTAGGCAAAAGTAGCTATCTGCTTCCGAAGACAGCCCACCGGAAGACCCTGCCTTGCTGGAGGAGGGTTGGACCTTAGAAGGAATGCTTCGTTGTCCGCTCTCCCAAAGCGATTCCCTCGAGCATGGACTTTGCTTTGGGAGCTAGGTGCAAAGGCTCATGAATCACCACAGCGGGTCCTTCCTTCGACCGAAGAGAAGCTTTGGAGTGCTTGAGGCTGCCAGTGTCGCTGTGTCGAACCTTTGCAACCAGCTTTGTGTCGCTATAGATGTAGGATCACACAAAGAAACCCCAGTTTGAGAGCTAAGGTTTTTGACTAAAGGATCCAAGGCACAGCAGGCCCTGGTGCCCCTGGACCCGGAGGAGATACAACCTGTCAAGCAGCACACTGCCTGAATGTCATTGCACCAAGTTGAACCAAGGCCAACAGTGCCAACAGCACCGCTTCCTTGGGAGCACACATACAATATCATACAACCCAAGAACTGCTTTCTCGCTTCCACCTCATCCTCATCCAAGTCTTCCAAGCCACCCTTGTTGATCAAATAATCCTTCCTTGCGAAGGCCATGGTGGCCACGGCAAAAGCAAATGAAAACTCGATAAGTTGATAAGAAAAAAACACCCCATAGCCACACCGGCCCCGACTCTAAAGCTTCGACAAGAACTGTTGCGTGGCTTGCTCATCAGGGTACAGCTGGGTCCTGCATTGCTGAATCTCTCCACCAAAAAAAGGCTCGTCGCGCGAGGCAGTCTCTTCCTGCTTTGCTTCCTGTGCCCGGGCGGCCCATGGCCTCAAGAACTCAATGGTGGCACAAGTCTCTCTGCAAGCGTCGGGTTGAGGCCTGCCATCAAGAAGCCAGCCTCACCAGCCTCCCATACATCTCCACTCAGAAAAGCAACTTCAAGGCACTATAAGGCGGACGAAAGCCGTCACTGTATTCCCCCAGCCTAGCCGCACATCATCGCCCATCTTCACTACACATGGAGACCTACGAAAAGAGCTTGAGCAAGAAGCCGACCAAGTACTTTGCTGCAGCAAAAAAGAGAACCTGCACAAGCTTATTAATGCATTTCGAAGCTCCCTCCCCAGGGCTCATGACCTTTTTGGTCAACGTGGCAAGCTTTGAGAGCAAAAAAAGAACAACGTCAAATTTCCAGTTAGCACTTGCCCTTTAAAGGAAAAAAGCTGACGGACCTTCCGATTCCATTTTCAGCTTTGGAATTTTGACGCTAAACCTGATCTAAGCTGTGGCATGTTAGCCGCTGTTAGCCTATCTGATATCTGCCCCTTGCTGAAGCCAATGCACCTTTGGCACTGCTCTCTTGCCAATAAGCAGGGTGAAACCTCCGACGCTCTCGGTGAAGACTCCAAAGACCAAACTGTTTATCCATCATGAACACCGACTCCTGCTCACTTGCCCTTGCTGATTCAACAGACGTTACCAGCATCGGATATTCCAGTCTTGTGAAATTCTCCGTATCTGGCATTGTCTAGCTTGCATACTCTGGGCTACGCTTGCCTTTCTTCCCCTCATGGGAGCGTCTCTTCAGCACCTAAGGACAAAAGTCACCCAAAGGTGTTCTCCCTCAACAGCCAGAGAAAATGGCTCACAGGTGCCAAAGCAGCACGAAAGCACAAGGCAACCCTGGTCTCGGGTCTTTGCATCTTTCTCTTGTAGCACAGCTTTTGACGCCTTGCCGGTTTTCACCTTAAGAGGTTGATTTGAACCAAGCTGGACAAGAATGGATGATCACGGCCTCCGCCAGCTCTCCCGGATGAAGGCCAAACTCTTTCTCTTCCTGCGCATGTCTTTTGACAGAACATGACAGAGTGTTCATTCAGAATCTTGAGGTCTTCCTTCAATCAGGACGCGTTTTGTTCCCAAGCCCACGCACTGGGGGAGTGGCCAATTCCATGAAGGCAGGTCCCTCTCGTGAGTCCATGATGATGGCATGTCCATCCTGAAGAAATGGCCGGCAGACTTGGTGGCAAGTCCCCATGGTTTCCAGACTCAGTCATCCACAAACCTTCTATAGGCTTTCTTTGTTTTCCCCGACAAGGTCTTCAACGTGATTACCCCTAGCCACCCGCCAAGTAGACATTTTCTCTCAGTTGGTCGTCAGGTCGCTTTCCTGTTGCGTGCCTCTATTGGGCCGGACCCAGGAAAGCAAATTGGATGCCTGTGCCAGGCTCTGCAATCAGCATATCTGGTGGATGTATCCCACCACCCAAGGGTGGGTAGGGTGGGCGCTGATTGCTTGAGCCAAAATGGCACGCAAGCACCACTTCCACACTATGACCTTGTCACTTCGACATTACATGTCATTTCTCTACAAACACATCAACGTGATTACCCCTAGCCACCCGCCAAGTAGACATTTTCTCTCAGTTGGTCGTCAGGTCGCTTTCCTGTTGCGTGCCTCTATTGGGCCGGACCCAGGAAAGCAAATTGGATGCCACTTGACCTGACGCCAACGACTAGCGAATTAGTCTTCCCCACCTGCGCTTTCAGCGCGCTGGTCGTCGGTGGAAGATGGTGTGTCCACTCGGGTGGCGTGGGTTTTGGGAAAACATTTACTGCAACGATCGTGCAGGGGCACTCCGTCAACGGACTCATGCACCTTAAAGTCAGCTTGGTTCTTCCCAAACGGCCATCCGCAACGGGCGCGCCATTGTTTGGGGGGAAGATCGAGCTTGTAAATTAAAGTTGCATGAAACTTCCCGTCGCGCGCGGTGTTCTGAATGATCACCCCGGGACGGTTGTCATGCTCAGGGATTTGTGGTATCCCGGCGGCGCAATCATGAAGCATATCTGGCTCCGGGTGCGTGAATTGGCTCTTACAGGACGCTATGCGTTGCTGTAAAAGTTGGAGCTGTTCTTGAGCTCTTTGAACGGACATGGAGGCCGTGGATTCAAGGGCCAACTTGTCCAATTGCTTCAGGGGCGCATCCTGAATGTAGTGGATGAACACGTCAGAGCCCCAGCGCCCGAACAGTTGGATGCGCCATAGTTCGATGTTGCGCTCGGCCATGAAACGTGCGCCCGTAACCCGTGCAGAGTGCCCCGTAAACATACGGGCACCGTTGCTGTGAGTCACGGGTAAGCCGAGGTGCATGGCAAGCTGTTCGAAGGTATCGGCCCACCCTTCCTTGGACGCCGGGATCGAGTCGTCCTCTGCGGGGAAGATGGGTTGATCCGGTGCTTCCGGCAGGTTGGCCAGGTGCCCAATCATGACATGGAAAGGGCAAAGGTTGGGTGAGTGCAGCGCACGCGAACAGGTGTGTTTTTTGTGCTCCCAAAGCTGCCTGGTCTGTCTTCGAGCTGGGAAGTCGCCAGGTGACTCTGCAGTCCGCCACGTTCACGGTGACGTGCTTCCTGCGTGCTCTTGAAGCTTCGATCTCTCGAAGGAGCCACCATGAGGCGAGGACGGTGGCAGCCACGGGTTGGCGTGGACCTCCTTTCACAAGCTGGCCCAACTGTGGTAGGGCTGCTACTTGCTCGAGTGGGAGCCCGGAGGCACCAGGGAGGCACCAGGGAGGCAGGAAAGGACCTATTGGACAGACTGGGAGGCACCAGGGAGCTCCTGCTTGCTTCGAATTGCCAATGCCCCGGTTGCAGCTTCTCACAGCTGGAGGCCCTGTGCGATGTGGCAATTCTTGGCTGCGTCCAGGTCCAACTTTCAAAGCCCCCATGACCGTGTAAATCATGGACGGGTGGGTCCAAGTGGAACGGATCGCTCCATCCTGCCGTGTTGGCTAAGGATGCCCACAGTTTCTGTCTGGACGCTAGCGGTCCTTTTGACGTGTCTGCGGAAGCCTCCTCTGCCAGCTGCGGGTCTTGCGCCGCTTTCAAGGCCGCTTCTGCCGAGCCTCGACCATATGGTTTCGGCTCACCCGGCCCAGGGTCGCGGTGTACTGCCCTCCAAGGAAGGACCCGCCCCGGAGGGGAGTCTCCTTGTGGCAACTGCACCGAGCCTGAAGGCGGGGTTAAAGCGAAGCCTTCGTGCAACGGACCAACTTTGGGTCTGGGAGCCCGGTCAAGTGTAGGGCGGCGCCCCGGAAGCGATCGCTTGAACGGCATTCTGCGGCGCCGATCACGCAAAGCGTAAGACCCTAACCCGTCCGGTTGGTTGGCAGGGCAGGACTTCCCCCCCCCCTGTGTCAGTGCAGGGCGTATTCTCCGGGTGTGGACCAGCTTTCCGGAATGCTGAGCTTTGCCCGCTCCGTCATTCGCTGACGTACCACCCCCTAGTACCGCCCACAATGCGGATAGGAAAGGTCGCAGGTGGGGCGCGAGCCCTGCTACGAAGGATAGGGCGCCTGCATAGGAGCGGAGCTGGCGCTTCCCTATCACTGGCTTCCTTAAAATTTGCTGCGCGCTGTCTTGGATCTTTGAGATCTTTGCAGCAGGAATAGTGACACGAACGCTCTTCTCGGCGTCGTCCAGTTCCAGCTTTGCGCCGACCCATCCTATGGACTTGCCCCCTTCAGCTTTGGACAGCTTGACTGGGAAGCCCACGATTGCGAACCACATCAACAGGATGGTGAGGTCTCTGCTGGCTTCATCCATGGTTCCCGACAGCACGAAGGCCGGATCGTCCACATAGATCTGTACCCCAGCCCTCGGCATTACCGCTGCTGCTGACCGTCCCAACCATGCGGCGTAGCGTCCCCAGAGCGTGGGTGAACTGCTTGCTCCGAAGACCAGCGTGTCGAAGATCACCATTTGCATCTGGTGTGGTCGACTTGGATGTGGTCGGGCCGCCACAGTAAAGCGCTTGTCCGCGCCGGCTGGGATGTTCATGAAGGCATCCTTCACGTCGACGGCCGCCAGCCATGGGGTGTTGCCCAACCGGTATTGCCTCACTGCTTGTTGCGCCAATTCCAGTAGCCTGGGCAAGAGGATGCGCTCGCCCTGACAACATTGCGCGTTGGCCCGGGACTCCCTGAGGTCCCATATCAACCGGCACTTCTTGACTCCCTGGTCACTGACCTTCACTATGAGCCCCAGCTTGTTTAGGACCGGCGGTTGTCCCAGTTCCGCCGTGGCCTCCTCCATCGACTCTGCCGTGTGGCAGAAGCCTCGGTTCACATAGTCAGCTATCAGGGTGTTGACCTCCTCGGTTTCCTGTTCTCTCTACTCGTGGGAAGATGCCCACGCTGGGGATGTTCTATAACCGAGTGGAGCCCCGTGGTCGAGCCACTCACACAGGTGATGTGTGTCTGGGTCACCCGTGTGTTCCCCCCAGGCCTGTATGACGTTCGCCTGAATGGGTGCGTTGGCTCTGGCTGTCCTTCTCCTCGGGCACGTAGAACCACCCAATGCTGCCACGACCAACTCTCGTGACCCGGTGATGACCTCTGCGGGGATAGGGCTGGCCTCTCGACCCGTGAGTATGTCACGACCGATGGTCACGAGATCAGGATGTGACTGCAGGGTCTGCTCCAGGATCCGTAGTACCAGGGCCCCAAGTCTCAGCCAGCTTTGGGATGCGCCCGATTGCGACGTGTGGGTTCCTCATACCTCCAATTGCCAACATGTTTTGCCTTTCCCTGGCGGTTGGCTCGTGCAGGGAAGTAGCGTCTGTCACAACTGGGAGGTTTCAGAGCGGCTCCCTTTGGAGCTCTTCTTTCTTCCAGTCTGTCCTGGCCGTCTTGTGGATTGCCACTGCCAATACTTTGCTGAACAAAGTGGTGTATTCTCCCTGTGCTTTGGAGGCCCACTGTGTTTTGCCGTCCACGTTTTCGGTTCTTTGCACCGTGGACATGCGCGCTGCTTGTATCTTGGCGCCGTCTGGTCTTGCGAAGGTGCGCTTTGGGTGGAAGCATCTCTTGCCCTGCAGCCTGGTGATATCGAGCCTGTGGGTCCAGTTTGGGATGTCCTTGATCCTCGGCATGAGCCATAAGGAAGGTTTGCCCTGCGGATGGTCTGGGTTCTCCAGTCCCCAGGGTTTCTTCTGCTGATGCATGCGGTCTGCCACCTTGTAGGATCTGTGGACCAGTATGTTGGCGTCCCTCAACTGGGCGGCTTCGGCCTTAGTGGTGTTGGCGACTCCGGTGATGTGCTCGACCGTCCTGAGTACACGAGGTCCGGGTGGTTTCTCTCTCAGCGGGGAGAAAGTGCCACAGGGTGTGGCTATCCAGGCGGCCTCAAACATACCTTTGTCGATGTCGTCCTTGAGGAGGTCCCAGACCTTGTCATCGAGCAGGTTGGTCGGCCTTGGCATCACCGTGTCGAGGCAGCAAACTAACCAGCCAAGGCGGGCGAGCTGATGAGCCAGGTCACCCTCTCGGGATCTTCCACATAAGACGATGAGAGCCCTTGGCTTGGTGGACGTCTGCCCAACGGTGCTAACCAGCTCCCGTACTTGGTCGGGGGTTCCTTGAGCTCCACCACTGGTTTCAGCCCGGACCCAACGCTCCCCCTTGCGCGCGGAACGGTCGGAGTGGTGCGTGGGTCTGGATGCTGACGTTCTGCTGCCTGGCCGGGCGTTTGCTTGGAGTCTTTTGGGCTGCGCACGTCTTCGCCCTTCTTCTGTTCGGGCTCAGTGCTCTTCCATCCTGCCTCTGCCGTTTGCCGTTGCTTCTTCGTCGGAGGTTGCTCCGGCGATTTGGGCGCAGCTCTTTTACTTCCCATGTTCGGTGGGTCTTGATCAGCTGTTGAGGACCGGGCATGCCCACCAGTGCCCGACCCTTGCGGTTTTCAGTCAGCTTTGGATCCGCCAGGGCAGGCGCTGCCCTGATGCGGCCCCAGGCACCGATTGCATTGATGGCTCCTCTTGGCTTTGCATTTCCCTTGAGCCTGCTTGGTGCCACATTTGCCTTGGTTGTACAGGCGGCAGATCTCCACTCCTCTGCGGTTGTGGGTGTACAGCCCGGACTGATCCTGCTTGGAGCGGTTGTCGCCCTTGTAGGAACCCGCGGATGTGCTCAGCGTAGGCATCCAACCTTTCAGCCTCCGAGGCCTCTAGCAGCAGCATCGCTGTCCTGTAACAGCGCCAGGCCTTGTACCAGTCGTAGAACGATGCAGGCCCTGGTTGCTCCTTTCGTCCCCATTCGCCCGTGGACACATTGAGGGTGTAGCTCTGGAAGGTCTGCCGTCGTAGGAGCCTTTGGCCATGTGGGCCAAAGATGCTAAAGTCCGCAAAGGGTACGGAACCCGATGCAATGACTTGGCTCAAAGCCGCCAGCTGATCCCTACTGACGTCGGCGTCAGTCGAAGGGAAGTCGCCGAAGCGGTTCTTGTATCGGTCATACATGGCTGTGACCTCCGCGTCCGCCAGGGCTTGGATCTCGGCATCCAGGGTTGGATCCAACACAGCACTGAGCTTAAGCTTGCGTGCTTGTGGTGCTGGTACTCCAGGGGCTGCTGCAGCGCCGCCTCCTCCTGCCGGAGGAAAGGGTGCCGGCATTCCGGCTGGAGCTGCCGGTCTTCCTGTATCACCTCGGTGGTCCGCCAGTCTTCCCGACCGAATGCAGCAGACTCGTCGAAGTGACTCCACCCGGGCATTCTCCACCGGCGTAAGTGGCCGTGGTGCAGGAGCGGGATCGCCGCCTTCTTGGATCTCCAGGTTGTCGACTGCATCATCCCAGATCGGCCGTGGGATAAGTGCGATCTCCCGGACACGGGCTGGGTCCCCAAGTGCGACATTGAGGGTCCTTGCCAACACGCCATCCACACCAGACCATGCCTGTGCATCATCCAGATTGTTGATGCCCCTGAGCTCGTCCTCCGTGGGGTCGACCATTTGATAGTGCAGGGCCCTCGTGCAACACAGGCGTGGGTGTAGATGCCCTTCTGCGTAACCTCCGAGCCGTAGTGGGTCGTGACCCGGTGTTGTTCCTCAGGCTGTAGTCCCTGAGACTATGGAAGGCCACTCCCAGCCGCCTCCTGCGGGCGATGAAGCGTAGGGCCTTCGCCGTCAAGCGCTCCCAAGCCAGCACAGCCTCCTGGTCTCCGCTAACCGTACGTGGTGTGGCCCGGAGGCAACAGCACCAGCACAAGAAAGCGCCGACCAGTCCGGCAGCGACCCAGGTCACCAGCAGGAACACCAGGAAGGACGATGCACTGCCGTCTCCTGTGTTCCTGCCGGCTTCCCAGATCACCACCTCCGCTGAGCCCATGCCCCGCTTGTGGTGCGCTGATTGCTTGAGCCAAAATGGCACGCAAGCACCACTTCCACACTATGACCTTGTCACTTCGACATTACATGTCATTTCTCTACAAACACACTGCTGTGCCCGTTGCACTCTCCTGAGCATCAGCCAAGTAATCCTCTGGAGCTGTTTGCGCCTTCCCACAGCTCCTGCCATCTGCTGCAATGTCTCACAGAACCTACTCTCCCCCAGTCCTAGAATCCATTTGACTCCGATGTCGTACACCCCATCGCATTCCACTTCAATCACTGTCTACGATTCTCCAAGATTCTGGCAAGGTGGCAGCAAGAGATGGGCCACAGCGCTCGCCCATGGGGCCCAAGTCCTACAGCACCGGACTCTGCTGCCAAAATGAACTCCAAATTGCGATGTTCGAGACAAATCGTACCCAAATCCAAGCTCCTTGGTCCATTTGTTGATCTTGTCATCTTCGAGAGCCTTCGTGCTGCCAAGGCAGCAAAACTATTTGAAGCCAAAGTCAGCAAAGCTGAGATCCCAAACACCCACATCTGCTAGCTGCATTGGAACACGGGAGGTTGAGCGTCCTCGCTGCGTCAGGGTCCGTAATGGTGCGAGGACATATCAAAATCAAGCAAACAGGAAGCTTGAGCACCAGAGCGACAGACAGAGGAAGTGGGGAAGCACGGAAGAGTAGGAAACAAGGAATGGAGGAGGAGGAGGAGGAGGAAGCCACATGTAGCATCTGCGTAGAGGAACGTATAGAACATACTCTCCCACTCACATGGAAGTCTATTTTCCACATCCAGGTTAGTGAGTGAGAGTGTATCTATATACTGTTTCTCTGACAAGACAGTCTATATAACAGTCCGACAGATCGGCAAAAATGGTGGTTTCTGAGAGACTCGGAGAGAGACTCGGAGAGAGGGGAGAGAAACAAACAAAAAGTCACAGTCACATCAATGTAGTGAGTTTTTGTAATGCATAAGGCGTAAGAGGACAGAGAGAGAGAGAGAGAGAGTTGTGTTTTGTGCACTTGCTCCACGTCAAGTCAATGCGCTCAATATATAAAGTAACTGTTAAAGTCCGTCATGCGTCAACACGTGCCGTTTGGATCTGCTCCTGCAGCACAGTCAGCAAAAGGACCCATGTCAGGCCTCGAGCGACGCCCAAGCCACGAACAATGATGAAAAAAGACGCGCCGGGAGCAGACGGCATTGACCTGAGGCCTTTCTTGGACCTTTCTTGTTTCAAGAAGCTTGTGTCTGTGGCTTGTGGAAGCTTTGACAGGAAGCCATGCTTTATATAGTCCCATTCGATTTTGCAGTTTCTCAAGATTTGCGTCTTGTGTGGAAGAGTCAGGCTTCACGAGACCTGAAAGACATTTCCCCCAAGACCTGAAAGCTCTGGCCCAAGTCTGAGGTTCGGGCTTCTCAGCAACTTTTGCTGAGCAGAAGCTCGCCTGTTGACTTCACTCACGTGCGTCATCAGACATGAAGCAACTGCTGCACGTGAATCCTTCCAGGTCCACCTCCCACATGCAACTTCTGGCAAGTTGTTTTCCTTTCTAAGCACTTCCAGGCACTGCACTCGAGACATGTGGAAGTCAAAATCTATGAGGGCTTGCCTTTCCTGAGTCAGTATATGTCCCAGCGAAAAGATTCTCAGGATGTTTGAAGGTGTCAAAACCCAGTTCACTCTGACTCTTTGGCCATGAATTTGCTCTGTACAGGAATGAACTCAAGGGCCCGATTCACTTTCCAGCACCAGTTTGCCTTAGACATAGTTGCGCCACAATGCTTTGAACAAAGGAAACATCACTCTGAGAGCGGAAGAACAGAATGTTCCCATCTTAGGTTTCGGCCTTCGTACCACATCTTCAATGCGGGTCGCATCAATGCATCACCTGCAAGCTTTTTTGGAATGGAAAAGCTCAAGAATCCGGGTTGAACAAGGAAGCAAGAAATCAAGTCGGAGCTGGAGAATCAACTTGGAAGTCCAGCCAGCCTTTCCTGCTTCTACCTATCCCGCCTGGCGGGCTGGCTTCTACTTTGGCTTTTTCCTGGACAAGCAGGTGTGCGCCGCACCGGAAAGAAGGCCAAGAGTCTGCCAAACAGGCCACCCAAAACGGACGTAGAGAGCTTCATCCTAAAAGGTGATAACACTGCCTTTGGAGAAAAAATCGTTCAGAATACTTGCTTGGCAAACACCCATGGCTGTGAAACACCCACACAATGAGGCAAGCTTCAAAGGACTCTCGGTCGTCCCACACTGTGACACCTGGGAAGAAAGGGAAATCTCAAACTCAACACCACAGAACTAAAACTGATCTCATCAAAGTAGTACTGGTGGGGCAGTTTCTGAATGCACTCAATAAGCTTTGTAGAGAAGAATCAAACTATTTGCAGTCGTGTCTGCCCATGTAGTTGCAATCATCGTCTGGCGCTTGGTCTCGTCTTAGGAGCTGAGAGAAGCGAAAGCCTCCCTGGCCCTGAGAGTCACAAGAGGACGGCAAAAACGACACACACGCTGAGTCTTACGAAACGAAAGATGTGTTTTCAAAAAAAATCCCTCGAACAACGTCATATTATCTTGAACATCTTGTCAATTCCATGTATCAATGCTCCCTCGCTGGTCCTGAAACAAAATCTGTCCCATATCTTCATCTGTCTAGAATGCAACATCCAAATATCTGGACAATATCTTGGCCAAAAAGGAGAGACTTTGTGGGGGAGACTCCGACTCCGAAAATTCAGTCAAAAGTAATCGAGAAACCAAAAAGAATCAAAACAAATAAAACAAATAGCATTTTGGAGGCTCTCTGGGGGAGGTTCCTCAGATAGAACCAAAAAGAACTCCAGAAAACCATTGAAAAATAAAAACGATATTCCAGGACTCTTGCCTGAGTATCTCTATTGGTTCTGCTGTTGCTGACGAACTTGTAAATACGTTCTTCTTGCTCCTCTTCAGTAAAGTGATAATGTTGGTTCATCACTTAGTTATATGGAAGCATGCTGATAATGTGTTCATTGACAAATTCAACTAGGTTGCTATGCTTTCTTGACCTATCTATATTCAATGGTATCTTTCCGAAGTCTCAAACAAATCAATTCGATGAACATCTAACCTAAATATCACTAATACAACAGAATATGTGTAGGCCATAATGACAAATAATCCTACTCATATTGTTCAATGTCATATTGAACTCGATCTAGCTCAAAGTAGTCATGGTTGATCCAAAAATATAGAAATAGTTATGTAAATGGATAGAAATGTACAACATCTTAGTCAGATTTCTTCTGTGTGTTAAGGTTTGAGACCCTATTCAATATTCACCAACAGAAAGTATTACTTTCTTCCTGTATCACCATCAAAGCAAGTTGTACATGTCTTACAGAGAGGGAGAGAGGGAGAGAGAGAAGGGAAGGAGGGATAGAGAGACGGAAACATGTCCTCAATATAACTTTGTTTCCTAAAGTCTATACCTGGAGACTGAACAAACTTTAGATTGACAGCTTGACATTGGCTATTTACGATTATCTAAGTGCAAAATAGCAGTGTTTGTTGTGCAGCGACAGGGCGAGGAAATCTGGAAAAATAGTTGAGCATGTTCTTTTTGTAAAAAGCACTGCGAAAATGATGTTGGTTTGATCTGGCGAGAGGCAGTAAGCACGCATACAAATTATCTATACATGTATGCATATATGTACACATTGCAGCCCGCTGACACCATATGGTTAAAGGCTGACAACAAAGACTCCGTTGCCACGACCGCACCTCCAGGGATGCCCCATGTTCGGACCAAAACTTCTCAAAGTCTTGTTCCCGTTCATGAAAGACTTGGAAGCGGGTAGTCGCCACAAAGACCTCCAAAGGCTCATCATCTCTCTGCCCCATGTTGAAACACACATATGTGCACAAGAGAACACAAGGTACCTGGCCCGCAGAAATAATGGTGTTTTCGGAGTGACTCACAAAGCGAAACACATAGATAGCAAAAATGCAGAAAACTGAGCTTGTGCGCGGACGGATACCTTGCAGGAAATCGAAAATTCAATGGGAAGATTCGGGAAGACTTCGGCGGAAATTGTTGTGCCCTTTCGCGCGCAGAAATATTCTCGGCAAGACCACAAACAGGAAGGGCACACAGACACACACATGAACCACATATCGGAGGGCTTCACCAACAGGAGCAACTAGTAACTAGTGGAGAGGAAGAGTATCTCTCAATGGAAAGCACGCGTATCGGTGGAAGCCATCCAGCTGCAGGCAGCTGAAAGATATATATAATACATTAAGTTAAGTACAAACTTTGCAATGAATCCCTGTGTGGATAAGAGCAAAACTGAATAAGTAGCAGCTTAGCTGGCAGGACCTTAGCTTCGCCCTAACAGTATTGAGAAGTTGGTAGCCATGTTGACTACAACCTTGATCCACTGACTCAGCAGGTTCCTTGACAAAAGCGACTCACTTTCTGCAAACATTATGGAATGGACAATGTCTGCTGGATAGGCTCCGTGGACATGTAGCAAGTCGGGTATGTTACAATATGTTTCAGGGATTTGACAGAACTTCCTTAGAAAGAATACAGGTACAACTTTTGGAGTAAATCCAAAGTTGAATGGAGAGACTGCCGCGCATAGTCTTGGATCCTGTCACACGCAGGAAGCAGAAAATATCAGAGCACACACATGAAGGAGCACGCCTGTGAGAAGCACATGAGTGCACACAAATGAGAGCACACATTATAAGAGCCAACGGATGAGAGCGCACATGGGAGAGCACACGAATGACAACACGCATGAGCACACACACATATGAAGGCATACACGTGAGAGCATCCGCCAAGCAAGGCACTGCCACGAAATCTCCGGAAAAATGAGCTCACTGGTCTGGGCGCAGAGGTTTGCCACACAAATGTTAATATGTGTGTTCTTATTGTAGCAGTAACAAAAGGCATCGCTACTAGGAGCAAGGACGCTACGAAAGGGGCTCCTGGCCCTACTACTAGGAGCAAGGACGCGACTAGGAGCACAAGCAATCAGTTCATTGCAAGGTGCCCGAGCCCAGAACACTCCGCCGCATTCCCACGAAACCGGATGCGCCCACCGTGTTCCACGCTGCGGGCCCCGGCTGGGTCCGCAGCAGGGGGCATCAGTAAGTGGCAAATTTATGTAAGGTAGATCACGGTAGATCTGAGTTGGGAAGTTTGAGGGATCTTTCTTTATGCATGTGTGTTTCGGGGAGCATTGGTCCTTTCAGTGCTTTTGGACACGCTATGACAAGCTCAACTTGGCGCTCAATTGAACATGAATTGCAGCAATGCACAATTTACTAGTGCTCTACTTGGCGTTCAACCATCTCTAATCATATGTCCGTCAGACATGTTTTGGACGTGCGATTACACAGGTCGTTGAAATTAAAACCTGCAGTGCAATTACAAATTGATGATGATGGCATGAAAAAAGTCCTCCTTTTGATATAGAAGACGATCCTTAGACTGCACGCGCTACACGGCGCCTCAGGCTCAAGGACCTTTTCGCCGTCGGCTTCAGGGCGGCTACCTGGCCCCGACAAGAGCCGTTCTCGGCTCTCGTTGGAGGTGATGGGCAGCACACCTGAAAAGCGCCGAGGGCGGTGAAAGCGCTGAGTGTTCGAAGGAAGTCCTTCAAAGAAGGGATTCAAAGCTCAAAATATGAAGGCCTTCCCAGAAGAAGGGCTTGGGTGGTCCCTTGCTCGTCAAGAAGGAGCTCATGATCATGCCAAGGAAGTCCTTCAAGCACAGGAATTGAGGCAATAACTAGCGGTCTCTCAAACCACAAAGCAGTTTTCCATAGCTTGGTCTTGGAGAAAGAAAGCATAGATTGCTCAAAAAGACTGGCCATCAGCTTGCCAAAAGTCACTGCAAATCTAAACCAAAAAGCATGAAATCTCATGGTCGGTCCAGAATACCTCCTCCACCATGAGCCTCTTTGAACGCTGGGCCTTTCCTCCAGAAGTTGAAGTCTTTCTTGGTCTCCCAAATAGTGAAGGAGATGTAGCCTTGACATGAACCACTTGCAGCAGCAAATCTGTCTGACAGAGTTTGTTGGTGTCGAAATGCTACGTGCTTGGTCAGTCAAAACTCACCAGTCTATAGTATAAATAAGGTTCATCGCACACAAGTCCCAGTGGCTGTAGTCATCAGGGTAAGGCGTAGGATCATCCGTTGGAACCCTTCGCATCAAAGAGAACCATCCTAAGAAACGACGTTCAAGAGTATTCAAAGCCCCAAGGGTCCAAGGTCATTCCTTCCCTCAACTTCCCTGCCACAACTATCACAAAACTGTCCCAAGCAAAAAGCAATGCTTGGGCTTGCTTTTGTCTTGCTTGGGCGTGGGCGAAAACCCGGAAGGGTCAAGAGCGAGGACTTCCGCTGAGCCCAGCGTTGCTCGAAGGCCGCATCGGAACCTTCCCGAACCATAAAGCCTCGGGTCGACGGCCGACGAGCACGCTTGACCGAGGAACTGCGGGAACTCGTCGGCCACTGCGGGTCTCCAGACGGTTGGAAGCGATGTAGCGCTCGCCGGGCAAGAGGTCCACCTTGAAAAAGCCACACTGTGCCCTGCTGGACATGAAGACATGTGTTTTTACCTTTCCTGGGTTTGCCCGTACGAATGCATGCCACAAGGCTGGAGAACTCCGTGAATAAACAGAGACATGAGACATGATATACGAGAATAAAAATATTGAAATGCACAGAGTATGATGAGTATGAGACACGATAGATTGATGCAAAAAGGACTATGCCGCAATACAACTACAGTAAATCCCACCTCCGTGGACAACTCTTGCGTCTCAACTCCTACAGCTGATAGCTTGGTCGGAGGACTAACCTGATGCGAGCACTTCTTCCGAAGAATGAGCGTAGATATTGAAACAAGGAATTACTGTCTAGTCTCAAGGAAGTACTGTCTGTCTGGTCTGTGAGTCAAACCACCCACGTGGTGAGTCACACCACTGAAGACCCAGAAGCCTTGCCCGACCCAGAAGGGCCAAGGACGAAGCATGCGGAGAAGGCACCCACGAGGGCCCTCAGCTTTACGCTGCAGGAGCCCCTAGTAGCGTCCGATCGCTCGGTTCGTAGCGATGCCCTTTGTTCCTAGTAGCGTCCTTGCTCCTAGTAGTAAGGCCAGGAGCCCCTAGTAGCGTCCGATCGCTCCTAGTTAAATGGGAATTGACAAAGATGGCTAAGTAGATGGCAAAGGCAGGCTTCGCAACCTGTGCCGTGGCCAGCTCGGCCCATGTGGCCAGCTTTGGCGACAGGGATTGCAACAATCAACTTCCGTGCACTATAGGAAGGACGACCACCATAAGTGTATGTCTGTGTTTGTGCCACCAAAACCCGGTAGCCTTTGTACAGACGTGAGATACGAACACAGGCTGCGTGCGCGCCTCGAAGCTCTTCCATGGCGCAACATATTTGGGAAGGATACTTCCAGGAGGTCAACCCAGAACGATCCCAGGATACCAAAACCAAGGTCTGGTCTTGCGAGTTGCAAACATGATTGTCCACCCCTCTCACGCAAAGCTCCATGTTCTTGCTCTAGCCTAATTTTGCTACTAAACAACTGCGGGCAAGTGCAAGAAACCTGTCAAACTTTTGCAATGCTTCTAGATTGGAGGCCATCACTAGCAGGTTGGAGGCCATCGCTAGTAGGTTGGAGGCCGGTTGTGATGTTGCAAAAGTATCAAAAGTTTTGCAAATCAGCGCAAACTCTGAAGCTGCTCACCTCAGCTCCCATGATGTCAGGGGCCAGCACAGCGGAAGAGCTGAATGGGCAAATGTAGTGTCCGTGTGGTTTGCCTTTGTAAGATTGTGTACATCAAATCTATATGGATGCCTTTTAACTGGTCTTCCTCTGAATACTCTCGTGAAAGGGTCTTTCTCGTGGGGAAAGGAGGCTGTTCCAGTCACAAAGCTTGAGCCACAACCTTCGGAGCACTGCAGTTTTCCTGTGGACTCGACACTCGAGCTCTGCTGATGACCAAAACATGCGGCATTGTTCGCCGAATTTGATCTGCGCATTACCAGAAATGCAGACTGAAGCGTCTGGTGCTGTTTCTCTCACGCCTTGCCAAGGATCAAGCTTGGTCTCTGACAAACACGCCTTCGGCGGAATCGTCAGTGGAAAGGCGGAAAGCTTGAAATTGGCCTGCAAATTGAACAATGCAAGACTCTCTCGGCCCATCGTCTGGGATGGACAGCACATTGTTGGACACAAGCCAACTTTTGAGGATGTTTCGTTAGTTGACGTCAGCCAAACACATTCGCAGCCCAACCACCAGCCATAAGTGGGCTCTCCCACATGTGTTGAATGCACGAATTTTGTTCAACTGCTCCGGGAAACGTAATTAGATTGGCATCCCAAAAAACATTCAGAAAACGGCAGCACGTCGCATTGAGCGTCGCTTGTGCCCAGATCCCACTGAAATGCGCGAGAACCTGAGGCAAGAAAAGCACGGCAGTGCCGAATTTCCAAAAACAAATTGGTGTTTTCTTCTTTTCTCTTCTTCCATTTCTCTTTCAATTTTTATGTTTTTCCCTTTTCCATCTCCAGTTCCTTTCCTCCTCTTCTTGTTCTTTTCTTTTGCTTGCCCTTAACTCACTCGTCTTCTTGTTTTCCTCTTCCTTATCCTCTCTATCTTCTTTTGCTCTTGCAGCCGACCACTTCTTAAGGACGTCGTACAGTGAGCCATGGGCAAAACAGTGGAAAGAAACGGGGGACTGGGCCGTGGGTGACACCCATGGACCCATAGATAAGCTGTTGATAGAAAATTTGTGACTATAAACCTGTCACTTTCATCTGGATCAAAAAGTGAGGTCACGTGCATTCACCAAGATCGATACGCTAGCTACGTCTTCACCCAGTTTTTGAACATGGTGACGCTCTATCTACTCCAGGATGAATACAGTATATATAGATATGTATACTTGAGAAGGGGGGGACGAAAGCCAGCAGCCGCCGGACGAGTGTCTCTTTTTCTGGCAAGCGTCGCGGCACAAGACACATGGTCGGCAGCTTGCGAGCCAGCGGTGCCGCGGCTGCGGGGGGGCGTGCGTAATGGTGATCGAGGGAGCAGAGAAGCAAGCTGGGCGGCTTTGGGATAAGTTTGGTCTGAAAGAAGTTGGTGTAGGTCATCATCACAAGGCAATGGCATGTTTTTGTCACATGCAGGAAGGTATGCATCATATGGATGTTGGAAGGCGACATCAGCGTTTGCGAGGGGGAACTACTGAGTTCGAGTGGTGGGATACCAAGCGCGCGCGCCGCGCACGCAGGAAGACCTTCTCCATAGTCAGCGTCGCCGCGAACGCGCTCGCGAGCACGGCATGCGTTTGAAAAGAAGCAATTATGTGTTTGTTACATTTGGAGTTTTTGAAGTTTGCAATACTGCGGCACGTCGAAAAAAGCGGCATTCGTTGATTTGGAAGAGTGAACGGGCACGTCTTAGCCGGGACACGGACGTTTGATTCCGCGGCGCAGGGGGGGGTCCAGCGGGAGTAAAGGAGTGAGGATTTGTGCGCCTATCGATGCACATGCCTGGACTTGAGTGAGTCATGTTCTGGCTCGATCCAAAGCACAGTCTTTTTCCTTTAAAGGGGCCTTTATTAAACGATCCAAACACTCTGCGCCTTTCTCACTCAGAGGCCTTGACTTTGGCACCTGCGCGCGTAGATCTTTGGGCCGTGGACCCAGGCTGACTGGATTCGGCCAGCGCTGCCAGCAAAAAGGCGACGTCATGAGTCAGTATATCTCTCTATCTCTCTAACTCTATCTCTATCTCTATCTCTATCTCTATCTCTATCTCTATGTCTATCTATCTATCTATCTATGTATCTAACTACCTATCTATCTGTCTATCTATCTATCTATCTGCACCGGCAAGCCGGAAAAACGTTCGGTGCGTGTGGACCCCGAGAAGCATCCACTCGACCGAGGGCATGGTGCGGATATGCAGTCAACCTTGCAGGCATCCCCACCAAAACTCAGTCCAAATTCATGGGCTTGATCTCATCCCACTTTCGGTTCTCTGTGGATTTCTCGAGTTACGGGTTGTCCTGGGAACTCGTATCCTGTACGTGGGTCCCTGTCTCCACTCGATTGCTCAGTGCCCAGTGTCCAAATAGCCTCCAAAGCCCTTCATGGTGCTAATGATGCACTACTCACCGTCCATTACATCACTCGCATCACCAGACCCCATTCTCATTGCTTTTCGGACCCTCGCTTTTGGAGCGCTCTCCCCCACCAAGCTCTGGGTTCACCCTCTCAAAATGTCCCTCTCGGCACCCTCCCCCTCCGCCCCCTTAACTCACTGCGTTCGCTCTAAAAGCTCAAGCCTAGCCTATCGACTGGCTTTCGTAATATATATGTATGTCTATTCATTTATTTTTGGTTTGTTTGTTTGCGTCTTCCATCTTATTATGTTAGTCACAAATGAACTCACCAAATCTCAGCAAGCGTGCAAGAGACGTTTTCCTTTGTTCGAGAAGTTGGCTGGTTTGTGACATCTTTCGTCACACGAAGTGGTGGTAAGATCTTCAAACAATTTCAAACGTCACGGCGTCATTCCAAACAAACTCATTGGTAGGTTCCCAATTACGCATATATGTAACATATGTATATATAGACTGTATATATACATTCCGAAGATCTCCAGACCCGTGGATAGTGGAAAACCACTTTTGGGTTCCATAGATACCAGGGAATGAACCTTACAAAACGTGACAGCAATTAAAATTAGGATATGATCATGAACACCACTCAGGACGCGGAGTGCAGCAACCAAACTGAGAAGGCTAGTGGAAGCTGAGCACACTCGGAACACAACAACGCCCGCTCCCAGAACTGTTGCTTCCTCAGCCACGTCTGAAAGGACTGCCGTTTTTACTACGAGTGCTTTTGGCATGGGGGCATAGCACCCAATCCAAAGTCATCCGTCAAACACCTGTTTTAGCACGAGCCTACTAACAGCCATCTCGCCCAGTGGGTCTTCCACCCTAGGCTTTAGCCTCAAACTTGTGGAAGGCAGGTTCGCATCTATGGCCACGCGAACGATGAACACTCGAACCTGGAGCCTCAGAACAGTATCCCACAAGACCGAGATAAGAACACACGTCGACTCGACCTTGGTCAAGGCGGCTTCCAGGCCCTCTGAGATCGGTGAAAACGAACAAGTCAGCTCGGAACAAACGACCAGCGAGCGTCAAGAGCCACACATGGGCCAGCATGTCCACAGGAGTGACGTGAGAGGCGAGAGGAGCACTTTTTAGAGACTCAATCACCCGTGAACTGATGAGGCGCCAACAAACAACCAGCGCCCATCATTCAGGCCTGCAATCCGCTTCACGTGCATCTGGTAAAACAATATCTGCGAACAAGACTTTAGCAGCACAAAAATCGATCGCCCTGGGGGGACCACTCTTTACAGGCTTCAACCAGACTGAACTGAACGAGTTGCCCTTCATGGCGAAAAAACATGGCTCGTCTGAAGAAGGAGCCCTCCAACAAAATTAAACGTTCTCTGGTCACGCATAAGGGCCTTAACTCCAGTGAACTTCGCAAAAGTGTCAAGATAGCTCTAACCTCAAACCTTGTTCCTCTGACTACCTCAAGACACTGTGTCACGATCCAATCCTCACAGCCCAAGAACTAGAAGTCACGGCTCGGTCCCAGAGCCGAACCTTCATCAACCTACAGTTTGCGCCAAGTGTCAGAATAGGGCGCACGTTACGCACTTCAAGCAAATTTGCCAGGCCCTTTGACAGACGCGAGCCACTAATCTGGCCGACCACGCCCCACGATCTGGCACGCGTGAAAGAAGACGCTCCGCAGATCGGAGGCATACTGCTCGAATAGCTGTGTCCAACTCAACTTCAACACACCAAGTATGCAGCATGCGCAACATCGCCCAAACGATCGACATCCAGCTCTGTTTCGCAACGGAGCAGCCGGCTGAGGTTTTGGCCTTAAGATCTGCAAAAGCTTGGCAGCGCTCTTTCCACTGCACAGGCGGCCAGCTTGCGGGCTTGAGAAAGCACACTGAAAGGGGGCATGAACTTTGCCATCGCATCGAACGATCGAACGTGTAGGGCGTGAAAAAACCTCACGCGAAAACAACAGGCGAGCGACGGACACGCGCGAAAAAAAGCACGAGTGAGCTGCATCGGCGATTTCATCGTGGACGCAGTCAACCGCAAGCTGAACTGTGGATTCTGAATGAAAAATCCACCACTGGCAAAAACAGTGAGACAAGCGTCAGCCGACCAGTGAAGACAAAGGTTGCCCAAGATGCTCAAATGTTCAGGCTGATCAGCCGGTCGAAGTCATTCGCGCGAGCAGAAAGAAGCAGTGTAAAAAGCAAACTAGGCCCTGTGTTCAAGATGCAGCAGGAGGTGGCCCTCCAACTTGATCTTGACGTCCACCGCGATGAGCTGTTCATCGGGCCATCAAACAAAGGCTAAAAAGCCCGGTGGCTGAACATCTCGCCAGTCTGGCTGCTCCACTTCGCACATGGAAACTTTCGCAGCCGCAGGTGATCACTTTGCAGCCTGAAGAGATTGAAACGATAGCCCGCTCGACGGACAACGAACAAGGTGTCTATCGGACTTGACGTTCACGTAGCCAAGGGCGCTGGAGGGAACCTCATCAGCCACTTGTAAAGCGGGCTCTGATCCTGTTGCCCCGACTGTGTGTGCAAGCTTCCGAGAGGCCGGTGGTAGCTCCCAGGCTGTACCCAAAAAAAAACCTAGCGATGGTGCTTTTTCACCTGGCAGGCGATCACTCTATTTCACCAAAATGGCCGCGATCGATTGACCGTCGTACGAAGGTACGAAGTAACCGAGCATGACTGAACAGTTGCGATTCAAGTGACTAGCAAATCCCAGACCAACTTGCCACCGCAAAGAGAACTCAATATTTAGTTTAGTTATTGGATCCAGGCGGAGAACGCTTTACGGCTTGACTTGTAGAGAGAGGACTGAGAGAACAATATACAACGAAAGTCGCAAGGAGGAAGGTCCCGATGACGAACGACCAGGCAACCAGGCAACGCCAACTTGTGATGCTATTGGACTGGCTCCAAAGAGGCTTAGAAGGGAAGTTGGACAAAGGCAAAGAGATTCAAGATTCGATTCATTGGCTGACCTGCTGAGCTTGGACTACATTGCAAATGCATTTTTGCAAGCGTGCAGCCTTGAATGACCAGAAACAAAACCAAAGCGGAAAGAGCTTCGTCACCGGTCACATCAGATTTGGCCGCCAAGTCAGTTCAACAAGGTCTTGGCTGAAGGAAGGGAATGTCAGCTGACCAAATCCAGTTGAAGTAGGCATACTAAACACGAATCGCAATTGCATAAAATCATAAAAGCCTTAAGAAAATGTGTCGTGAAGACTGACAAAATCAAGTCCATTCAGTATCAGTGCAGGCCATTCTGCACTTTAAGCCCGGAAACTCCTCACGTGTGATGGTCCCACCATTTGCTACGTCCAAAATGGAAAAGAGCTCATCGCCAGCACCAAAAAAGCCAGCCTGCAATCACTGCAATCAAAAAATAACTAAACACTTGCTGGCAGCACCAAAAACATCAAACGAGCCTCTTGTAGACCTTGAGTCCACTCCTCCTCAAGAAAATTGCACAACATGGTTGATGTCCTGCCCTTTCTCTGGCATGCAAGATTTCCGGAAAATGCCATAGGCTTTCCATCTATCTACTTATCACTTATCACTGCCTGCGACAAGACCCCGTCGTGGTCCACGTCCCACTTCCTGAAGGCCTCCAGAAGGCCGCGAGTCAGCTGTCCTAAGAATGTCTGGGAACCAAATCATTAAGGCTTGGGCTTCTTCAAGGAAGCTCCCCCGCCCCCCAGGAGCATCCTGAGCCCTTCCGCTAGTGGCTTACCTACTCTACCTCCTCTTACCCCTACGGCCTACCCCCCCAGCGGCTAAAATTACTACCCATGGCTTGCTTCACCCCCAAGAACGCTCCGAAGGTGCTCTTTGTTTTGCATGGTCTGGGAGTACCCAACACCCCGAAGGAAGGAGGCCACTTTGTCCGGCCTTCTCCAAGCCGCCGAAGTTCCACAGAATGAAGCTGCACAACTCTTGCATCTGAAGCAGGGAATGGGTTTTGTAGGCCCAGCTTTGAGCTTTTCAGAATAGATGGAGATACTCTACTGTATACAGGATCATCCAAGCTCCGACACACTTTGATGCGAGGACTCAGAAGTCATGTCATGCAACGAAAAGCCCAAAACGGTAACAGATTGGAAACTTGGAACCACCCCCCCGTTTTCGCCTGTCTGTCCAGTTCCCGCTTGACCGAATCCAAGAAGGTCCATTCCTGCACAGGGGGGCCATTGGATGTCGAAAATTTGATCTTTGAGCTGTTGAATTGAAACCGCAATCATGGTCGAGTCATGACTAGTCAAAAAGGGGTGCAGCTTTGTAAAGAGGAAACGTCCCACACCTCCCGAGAGATGTTGCCAGTCTGGGTGGCATCCAAGTTTCGAAAAATTGCGCGAAAGCCTGAAAGCTTCACTACCAACACATTGCGGTTTCTTCTCTCAAAGTTCTCAACCAAGTTACGCTCCCGGCAATTCTTCCTGAATCGAGCATCTTCCAACCTAGCACTCTTTGGACAAGTGCCAGACAGACCTTGGAAACACTGTAGTGCATTTCAGTCCCATAAACTGGCCTTTCACCATAGTCCTCAAACTCATTCAGGGAAATCCCACCTGCATGGGACCACTATAATCAAAAAAAGTATCTTTCTTGTTACTAGTAGAAAGGCCAGGAGATCCTAGTAACGTCCTTGCTCCTAGTAGCGATGCCCTTTGCTGCTAGTAGCTTCCTCTTGTCAAATAGATCCAAACAGGTGGGATTTTCGATTGCTAATACAGCGGGCTGTGCCCTTTCCAGTTCCATCACCATCAATATCTGCATAAGCCTGACGAGGCCAGTGGCACCAAAACTGAGTGCACACAATGTTCACCCAAATCCCTAGCCCACCTGGCTCAAGTCGCCAAGATATCTTTCATCCAGCACCTGAAGCAGCCACAGAAATTATGGGTTCCAGAAAAGCTTGTACTTGATTCTAACATGGCTAGAACAAAACCAAATGGAAGTGGACGCTGACAAATGGGAAGGAGAGGTGGAGAGCGGGGAAGTTGTGAGGACATGTGAGGACATTGTGAAAACATGGCGGCCACCCAGCCTCAATGAATCGAATCATGTCCAGGTTAACATCAGAAAGGACTGACCACCAGTCAACGTCCTGGCCGCACCACCACTCACAAGCATGCCTTGCTCTCAGAGAACCATAGTAACTGAGAAATCTGATCAAATGCTTTGAGCAAGCTTTAATTTGGCCTCCGACTCCAAGGCAGGAATTTTCCATCGCCTTTCGTGCAGAATCATTGTAGGTCTGCCAGTTCAACACTGACCCCGAGGCTTTCACCCAATGGTCGTCAAGTAGTCCACGCGTGTCTTCAAGTTGCGCTTCTGCCAAGGCAAGCACATGTTCGATTGGGGAGATTCACAAATCAACAGTTCCAGTCTGCCTCGGGGGACACACAATACTTGGCTCGGAAGTTGCCAGCCTACCCGGGCAGATCTGTTATCTCACTGTTGACCAGGAACCGAACGTTCCCTGCCTTGGGGCAATCCGAATATCTCGCCCAGGCCCTGGGAACACCTTGCGCAGTGGTGGGATCAGAACGATGCCACTATGCTGGCTACCACGTGGGCACATTGCCTGTGACAAGTTCATCCTCCGTACCATCCTGCTCAGTGTCATGCAAGCGCAAGAAAAGAATGAATCCTTTTTGCAAACAGTGGGCCTCCCGGATGTACCTGGGCTCTGCCAGCAGAGCCACCTCCTTTTGAAAAAGGTTCACGAGAATGGTGACCGCCAACTTCTGGTCATGTACAGAGAAATCCAGCTCCAAGAAAGCCTCATGCTTACGAGATGTTCCAATTGACGTTTGGGGAGACATAACAATGTTTCCCAGAAGACATTTTAGCAGATTGTAGATGAAAGGTTGCAAAGCTCACTTGAACCATTGCCAATCCTGCCTGTTCTGGCTGGATAAAAGGGAAGAACTTCGTCGGTCCAAGCCTGTCCCTCAGCAGCATTTCTCCACATGTCAAGTTGGACAGGCAAACTGTTCATGCTAAGGCAATGGCATCAAAACAGTGAAATCATTGCCTTTGTCGCGCGAACTGCGCAAGGTGGAAGCACATGACAGTCGTTTGCTTACCGTAATAGCAAACGTCGAGAGAATCATGATGGATCATGCAATTGATTGGCAAGAAGCCTGCACAAAACGCTGAGTTTCTTGAATCTGCGGATTCGACAAAATATGTGAATATATAGCAGGACCAACAGCACGTTTTGCTCTGGTGCTGGTCCTAGTGCTTTCAATTGACTCAGCTGAACACCAGAGAAGCGAGCTCTAGGAACCTTTACATTCCAAATATCCACCAACCTGCCACAAACGGTGTACATCAAAGGACAGTCAGTGTGCAACATCAGGCCTAAAGGGCCCCTGCAGGGCACTTCATGAGCTCGTTACTACAATATCTATCAACCCAATCCGCTTGTGCAAAACCAAACTCTTTTGCAAAGCTCAGCAGTATCTAAAACATGCCAGCCATCACCGGTAGTACATTACATGGAAAAGCTGGATTCTAGCCTGGCTGCAATTTGGCTGTGACGGTAAAGTCCCAACTGCGCGTTCAAGCCCAAACATGCACGTGCAAACCTCACGGTCAGAAAGTGCTCCAAGCAGCCTGCTTTACTGCAGAATCTTGCTTACTGCATGCTATCAGCAGATCCTGGCATTAGCATACTGGGAGCAAGAACCTACTAGTAACATCTAGTAACAAAGGGCATCGCTACTAGGAGCAAGAAGCTACTAGTAGCAAAACATATGTCACATGTCGTTGCTGAACGCGCAGCTTCCGACCAAGTGGCTCTCGCAGCTGAGACGACGAAAGGTAAATGTAAGGAGCCACGGTTCGAAGAGCTTGAAGCCTCAGAAACTCGAGGGATATTTAATTTTACGGATGTACTAGTAGCAAGAAGCTAGTATAGGTTGGAGGCCATCGCTACAAGAAGCAGGAAGCTAGTAGGTTGGA